TTAGACTGATTKATTTTAGATTTTAGCCCATTTTTTCCTCTGTGCTTTAGCCACCTAACAAATAATGGAGTGAGCCTTACTAAAAAAACATCATCAAGCTTTCAGTTTCATATAAAACCTGCTTTTCTGGTGATCTTTTGAGCAACCTAAAACACTTTTGGTGGAAAAAATCATGATAGAAGTATAAGGTTACACTTAACAAATTACAGCAACATCAGATTTCAATCACAATACTCGTCTGATCTCCATTGTCCTCATGTTTGTGGATTCCCAGGGGTATTAGAAAGTGTAAATTGCTCTGATTCAACCCATCCTTACAGATTAACACCCTCTTTCTTATTTGGAATTTTGGGGTGTCTAACACCTGTATTATTGGCTTTTTCTAAAGGGGTGAGCCCCCCACTCAGGAAAGTAGGAGACATTAACTGCTACCCATGATATTTAATGTTCTGGCAGCCGTGGTATCATCTGTCTTGTGCAGAGCTGGCAGACAAAGCAATTTATAGGAGGCTGAAGTTAAGTGCAATGGACATAATGGACATCAGCACGAGTGTTTTATTGAATGGGGTGTCAGAGAGGATGATAAATGAGTGATGGGCTCCATGCATGTTTAGGAAGGAAATGTCATTCTCCACAGATACTGTGGTGGAGTCCTGTTGCTGCTGTTTTTGTTAAAACTTACTGTTATCTCTTTGAAAATGGGGAAAAGTATCTCATTGAAAGTTTCTATACCCTCTGTTCAGGATGGGGAAGAAGAAACAGCTGGAAATATTTTGGTGAATTTCAGTGCACAGATGTTAGAGAATCTCTCTTCTCATGCAAAGGCAGATTTTTGGCTGCAGCAGTTAGAGGCTTCACTGGCAGCAGCAGCAAAAAAACCACAGCAAGTGAAGAACATAAGGATGACTTTTTATTTGCCTCATCATGTCTCTGTTACTGCTTCAGCCACAGGCACAAGAAATAGATAACTGAAATAAGGGTATGAAATATTTACTGATRAATTCTGCAGAGAATGCTGATATTGGTAGCATTACTAAAATACAACCTCCAGTTTTACCCTCTTCATCTCAAGAATGAAGATATGAATATATAAAAGATAATTTACAAAAGAGCTGATCTTTCCAGTGACTAGTTTAAATTATCCCTGGGGACAAGTTCTACTCCATGTTTGGGCAGCAATGCAGGGTGCCTGTTGTCTGAAGTCTAACTTACAGTTATCTTAATCTGGAATTCTCCTGCCTAAACCCAAATTCCCTGGAAACAGGAGAGGAAACTTCAGTTGCTCCCAGTCTGCCCAGAATCTGAAAAGCTCTGCAATAAGGTAATGACTATTATCAAAATCAGCTTGGCCTGTCTTACCTTAACTCCATGGAACTGTGATGCAGATAACTGCAACAGATTTGCCCAAAGAGCTATTTTTTCCTGAGGAGTTGCCAAAGCTTCTCTATTGCTCTTGCAAAAGTCTCTAAGATCAATAAAATCACTCATGAAGTTGATGTCTTCACATATTTTCCCTGGAATTGGCAGGGCAAAGAGTGCCACCACRGTCAGCTCTGACACCACTCAGCACCTTTATCCAAATATTTCTGATAGATGAGGGCGCTGAAGAAACTTGCAGAGAAAAATCTGACATGATGTAGAAATCACAGAGGTCATCATTTGGCTTCCAGGAGTGGACAGGTGAGAAATCTCATGATAATTTGCCCTAAACTAGATTCCAGAACTGCAGTATCCAAACTAGTTATCAATTGATAGACTCAGATTCCCAGGTTGTTGATAAAATTGTCTGTTTAGCCATATAAATTAAGTTTGGAAAGCATGAGGCTGCTCTCAGACTTGCTTTTGGCTGGTAGTATTTAACAAAGGTATTTAAAYATAATTCCTCCATTTTTGAAACTTTTACCATAAATATTGAATAATTTGTGCTACTTGGTTCCAACAGAGCAGATCTCTGTTATTTCTAGCCATAATCCTGACCTCTGTTCAAAGCTGCTTCAGTTGTTGGGTGTGCTCCTCCTATGGGATCATTCATGCTAAAAATGAGCTAGAAAGGCATATTTGGGAATGTCTTCCTGCACYAGCTAAGTTGTGAGGATTTCCCATGCTGAGAATGTTTGACTCACTGATGGCTTTGGACAGTGACATTGCAGACCATACACTTGTCAAGAACAATAACCCCTGGTGGGTTCAGGGATAAAATACCACGAGATTCTCTTCCTGGTACATTTCACAGAATCCCAGAATAATTTGGCTTGGAAAGGACATTAAAGATCGTCCAGTTGCCATCTCCCTGAAGGTAACCTTCCACTAGAAGTTTTTTCTTTTCAAATGACTTAACTACACACAGGGTTTCAAGTCCTGAGAAAACACTGGACAGTGCAAACAATGCAAGGTGAGCAGTAACTGAGGAGTTCCAGAAAGTAAAAAGATAATTTCCACAAAAATTTCGTGGAGCCTGCTCTGAGGGATACAGTGTTCCCACAAAAGTAGGAAAAATCTCTTAATTCMCAGGGGTCTGTTTTATTCTGTTTCTACACAGGAACAGTGACTCATTCAAAYGCAAAACAGATCTGTACCACCACTRAAAAGGCAATGTTGGTTTGTACTCTACTGCTGGCCCTCAGAAATTCCCTGGGAGCTCTACATTCACAGTGTTCCCTGACTGGAGGGGTCCAATATTCTTTTGTTTCTGCTGTTATTTGATTTAAGCATCAAACTTCACAAACAGAAAGGGATATTCATCCGYTGTGTTCCAAATGTGACTGAATTTCTCATGGAGTTCACATAAATCCAGGCAGTTTTACCTGGAGGAATTCACAATTCCAGATTAACAGAATTGTCAAAAGCTTCCACCTGTTCACTGCTTTCACTCATCACCATTTACAGACTTCTTAAAGAAACTTTACATTTCCTCAGCAGCTGAATTTTTGGACAATTCCAGCAGGAAGAAGCTGCAACATCAAGATATCATCATTCTCCTTTTAACCCTGTGAGAGCATGCAAAGGCAATTTTAATGCTTAAGCAAGACWAAAGAATTGGTGAGACTTTTAAATTAGCCCTGTGGTGAATTCAGGTGGTTTTGTATGTTGCTGAGGTAACATAATCACTAAGGATGTGTTCATGCCAGGTGTGATTTTTGTCCCAAATTGCTGCCTCTGCAATGGAAATAGTGTTCACCTTCACAGTATTTCTAATTATGGGCCAAGCAAAGTATCTGGTGTTGCATTCAGACAAATATTTTTTAATTGTAAAGATCAGACTGATTAATGCTTTAAATTCTCTTCTATGGCTTTTTCAGTGTTYCCTTCTTTTCCCATATGCAAGATCAAAGCAGTCTTACCTCTTCTGTAAGTAACATTTTCTTTTACAGTGCTACAGAGAAATGCTTGAAACTACTTCTCTGGAAAGCCCAAGCACACAGGAGAACAATTTTATTTTTTTTTACAACCATTAAAGTCCATCAGAAACCAGAACAGTCAGCACACAAGCACCGACTGAGAACTGTGGCTGATTGAAAGCCCGGGATAGAAAAAAAAAAGTTGTTACACTTTTTCCCTAAACAATTTACAATTAATTTAGTACCTCTGCTTTGAAGTGTGCGAGTTTCACCTCTTTCACTGGCCACATCCTAAACCGTAGTAAATGCTGCCACCTAATGGAACATGATTGTTGAACAAAAGCTGCCTGCTCATTCCAGCTCACACAAAAAACAAAAACA